AGGAGCCATGAAAGGAGAGACTGATGACAAAGTGTGTGCGACAGAGCATTTGTGGTCCAGCAAATCGAGGATCTAAAGCATCGTATGCTAGAATTAATCAAATGGTAATCAGTAGCAAGAGCAAGCAACCCCAACACGATGCTCTGTCACCTAACAACAAAAGATTTCCACGAGCCAAGGAAAGGGAGGATGAAAATCTTTATATTGACAGTGTTGGGTTGGCACCGATCAAAAAACATCAGGTCTGGCAAACTAAAGTGTCGCGCCAACCAAAGAATGTGTTCTCCCAGCGAATCTCTGATATTAAGCCACGCAAATGATTCAAAATTCAGACGCTTGAATCTTACAAGGGACAAACGGACCTGACTGATCACATCAAATCTTTCAAGTCAATTATATGTCTGCTCAAGATCAATGGTGCACTAAAGTGAAAACTCTTCCTTACGATGTTGAGAGACTCAGCTCTCAGGTGGTTCAATAAACTACCAACAAAAGTGATCACATCATTCACATACTTTAAGTGAATGTCCATTACACAATTTGCTAGTGCGCGGAAATCCGAAAGAGCTTGGCTCTCAGGTGGTTCAACAAACTACCAACAAAAGTGATCACATCATTCACATAGTTTAAGTGAATGTCCATCACACAATTTGCTAGTGCGCGGAAATCCGAAAGAGCTTGCTGGCTCTCTTGCAGCTTTGCTAGATACAAAGCAAGACCCTGCGCGCCTTCGTCACTTGTTTCCAAGAGTAAATGTTAGAGTTTCGTTATTTGAAACCCATGGTCTCTCATGCAGTCCCCATACAAGGATAAAAGGAAGGACATTTTTTGGCACGCACTGGAATTATAGCGATCAAAGACATTAGTTGAGTTATTAGAACTAGCCAAAAAGCACGTCTTAGCATAAGAATTCAACTCTCCCCAAGCAACATTCAAAATTGAGCAAAGAAATAGTCGTTCGGCAAAGAGAACCGTCCTTAGAGAAGGAACACAACCATCTCCCTCCTACCCGAGCTCGTTTCAAGGATTTGCGAAGACACTCGAATAATCAGGTGTCCTACAGAGCCCATTATTAGGAGAATCAAGTTTGCTACATCGAATGGCAGCCAGTTCGATATGAGAAGTGACCACCGCTAACTTATGAAATGCCCAAGGTGACTCCTCTAATTTCAATGACCAAGATAGTAGGGGTCATTCAAAACATATATATATTGCAAGAAGGTGATCTCAATAAAAGTTGGTGCATATCTTTAGGACCCAGAGAAGTACTTCACATGCCATTGGAATTACAGTCATGACACTAACGAGTGACAACACCTCTGAAATCTGGTTGAAATTTTGATCAAAGATGGGAAGCAGAAAGAGTGAGTGGTACACAAAACAACCATCTAATGACAGAGAAAGACTACTATTGGATAAATCATGAATGAGCTGGTCCGAGCCCACGTGATACATATAGTTAGCATAGTTATGGTGTAAGGTATGACTCATCCAAGGTGACTACTTAACCAAGCAACTTAGACATAGGTGGTATAAGACTTAGGTTGGGTGATAGCATATTGAACAAGTCATGAACTCTATATAATCACACTCATTTCAAAATAAACAACATTGTTCGATGAACTAGCCTTTTAGCCTCGCGAGCCAACTCAACACTTCAGCCTATTCAATTCATTACTCGATGGGCATTCCCCATAATCAAGCAAGTTTCACTAACTACAATAAATGTTCGATGTTGGTACACAAAATAAAAAGGATAAACTCAATGTATAGTTGAATCAACTAAGTAACGACTCAGAGCAAATTAAGAATGAGAGGGAATATCATTGCACTCTATTTATAATAATCAAGGTGTCTAAATCAAAGGAGTTCAATCATTGAACCATTAATTAAGATTAAATGTGATATGCTTTTGTATTAAATTCTCTTATTCTTTCATAGTGTTGCTTTCAAAATATAAGTAAATCAAGAAGCAAAAATTGGTACATCAAAAAGATGTCTGCATTGATCTCAAAGATATCTAACAATCCAAACGTGATGAGTATGACAGAAGCTAGCCCATCGCAGGAGATCATGAGGCCCACTAAACCAAAAAATTAAAGCCACACGAGCCAAGCCAACTAGGTCAATACCAACCGAACCATGCGGCATACTAGAAGATAACAAATGATCTAAGCATGAGCCATCCGATCGGAAACGAGACAAAAAAGCATCCAAACCAACCATTATAGAAAAGTCGGCCCAAAGCGATAGTTTATCTCCCAGTAGAGCCAATCCAAAGGAAGATCGAGCACCATAAAGCAACTCAGACTATCCCGTGGAGACTTCAAATACTCCTCACTAGGGATTGAGGACATACAACCAGGCTGAACCAGTGGACCGAACCATATCAATAACCTAGCTCAGTCAACCGAGCTGACCCAGTTGAACCAAAGTCAACTAAGCTTAGTCGGTCGAGTCAGAAGGCAACTAGTTGATAAGTCCACACTTGTAAAAATACCATAAATATCTTAGTTCAAACCATTTCCAAATAGGGGTAAAAATTTAATATCACAACTATATTATCATATATATAATTAAGATAATCTTTTATGAAGAAGAAAGGATTTATTATTAATCATCTCACATACTCTCGCTCTCTCTCTCTC